AAACCATTTTGTAGTATTTTCATGCTTTCTATGACGATATGGTGATGGTTGTGAATGACATGAACTGCTTTTGCCAATGTTTATTCAAGTACATCCAGATTTACGGAATTAATACGTGGTTTTTTTGTGTATCAAAGATAAACTTAGGTTCGAGTAAAGATGTCGCGAGATGATTCTTCAAAATCGGAAGCATGACAAAATCGAAACATCCAAATTTGTAGACACAGTTCTGTTTTGACATAAAGTGACAGTTCATCTTGTAAGCTATCCTACTTTTTATTCGACATTTCATTTTAATTGAAATCTCATATCGTGATCATTACACATTTACCACAGAATTCGATTTGATTGGTTAATATGCGAATTTTATAATTTTTCTGTAACATTTTCAGTATGTCTTTTGGTCTGTTGATCAAATGTTTGACTCACCTTTCTAATTATTGGTGCTAATTTTCACTAACAAACATCCTCACTTATGCCTTTTATTCCTCGTGGAGGGGCATTAGCTGCCCATTGTGACTGTCCTTCGAACTCTGTCCTAAGCAATTTATTTCATTTTAATGGCAAGTGACATTCATGCCTGTTTCACAACAAATTCATATTTGAACTAGTTGATTAAATCCATAACAGTTGCTATTTGAAGAAACATTGACCTAGGTTTTAAAAGTTTTCATTTTTCAACTGTCTATTGAATGCTGTGGTGACTTGTTTTATCCCACAGTCAATTAGTGTAAAATGTGTTCTCTCTAGTGTCAGTATTGATTGCTGATATTTTTGAAACTTAGTAGAATATGAAGCTTTTGAATTATTAGTCATTTCTCTCGTTAATCCACACGTTAATCCCTGTGCAGATATGTGCCAAATAGCTAAATAATTTAAATGAGGGTGTGTATTACAGAGGAGAGAACTTGAGACATCTACTTCCGTCAGTGAAGGTCAACGACTTAAGGAAATAAACTTATAGATATATTCCCAGATGAACTGATCAATCAATTTGCCGTGTATAAAAAGCGACCAGAGGAATAACACGAGAACAAATAGTTCTGCCGATTGAAACCAAGAAATAAGTTCCCAGAATGCGAGCATAAATGAATAAGATAGGTGGTTCGTTAGAACACTGCATCATTCGTTATACGAACCGAATCTTACAAACGTTTGAAAATAAATCAAATCACTATGCAGGGGAAAAGTAGTTGGGTGTTTTTGCACACAAGAAGCATAAGGAGAGGTTTACAACACGGGCTTGCCATTCAAATTAAGAAAACAGGCTAATGTTACTAGGCTTTCCATTATCAAAACTCATTTCGTTATTAAACTTGTAAATAAACTATAATAGTTGTTGATCGATATGCATTATGTTTATCGAAAGCTGTTGGTGAGATATTGATGAATATTTAGTGAAATTAGAGGTGGACAGAGTTGTCCCATATGTATTTATAAAGTGACATTTTTAGGTGATATGGTTTACTGTACAAATTGTTGACGTTGACCATTTAATATTATGGAACTGAAGAATACTGGGTAGTTATTTTATCGTATGAAACAAATGCGTAGCAATGCGCATCTACACTTCTACTATGGACTGCACCTGAATGTTTCAGCACTAAAATTCAAAAACTTAACATCTAAATCATTCTGTTTGAATGAATGGTATAGTTTACAGTTGTAAATTTGAGATATCGTTTATTGTGACTGATGATACACGTCTCATATCGGATATGGTCTAACACTTTTTTGATAACTGCTTTTCATTAGAGCTCTGAGAATAACTGCCCCCCAAAGTAACTCACTATTAGGGCACATGATTATTGGGATTATATGAAGTTTCACGCTTCACAAACAGTAATACATTTTCTTACTGGCAATTTCAATCATTCTTCTTTACAGAGTATAAATTGTCACTGACGGAAAGTGGTTCATTTCCGTAAACAGATTGCATGAATAGTGATGATTTTTCAGGTTGAGTAATAGTCTATTGTCAATTAGTGTGCAGATTTTGATATCATCTTGGTAATCAATGGAATATTCTATGTATTATCCTGGACTGATAATAATGAATCACTGGAATCGATGAGAGAAAACGAGAGTAAATTGTCAACCACATATTACACTTCAATAGATGTTATTGAATTCAGTTGATCATTGAACACTGCTTGATAGTGTAATCAGAATGTAACTGGTTACTTAATGCGTTTTTCACACGATCATATTGGAAATCGTTCAAAATTAAATTTTTGATTGTTAATTGAAGGTATGTCTTTCATTCAATTAATTATTGCACAATTCATCTGTGGACTAATTGGGCGTATTCTTCATGATTACTCTTATTGTTTAAAACGAATATAGATGTGTGGGTGCTCAATGTTTTGTAGTTACACTGGTCATTACATAAAATGTAATAAGAATGAACAACAATTAGATAGAATTAGAAAGGAAGGTGCGGAACAGTGTGAGCCAAAAAATGCTAGTCAATAGCTTGAGCTTATGAAAATAAGCGTAAGGAAGTAAGCACGTAATTTGGATGAGTCAGTATTCGGCGACTTTTACATTTTTAAACAGTTAACCGTTTGTTTTTGCGAAGAAAACATAAGAAATATAAACTTTAAAACAAATCTTAAGCATCAGAAAGAAAATTAAACTGTCGAAGGAAAGTAGAAAACCAGTTTAAAGAATCAATTCATAGAGTATATATAGTTGACAGTAGATCTATACGTATACACTTATATCCGTCTTATGATATTTTCATTGTTATCCTTCACATATATTAGAAACTCATATACGCAGGACTGAAGCCTTTCTTCAACGAAAGGATATTTGTACTTACCAACATAAATGATTTAGAAATCTGTGTTCGATATTCGAAATATTTATAACATGGATCAACAGACCTAAGTTGCCTATCATTTGACTTCAGTAAGATCGGAGAAGTGATCTTTAACATATTATTGCTATCTTAATATATAGGTCGCCTATCCTCGTACACAATTACCAAAATATTCCGCGTCGGTGAATAACCGAATGAAATCATTCAAATACGAGAATGAATTTCAAATACGTATATTTTATACAATATTTGATCAGAACAAACGGGCGAAAAAATCAAGCAAAGAAAAGTAAGCAAAGCGATATGACGCGCGATGGCGAATACGAGTGAGCTAACTCTATTTACCAAGAGTTAATAATTATTTAACGTCATACAAAAATAAGCTACAGACGTGCTATGAGTACGATAAGAAGTGAATACACATCCGCCCATATAAAAACATTGATGTTTGATAAGTGAATAATAAACAGGGTCAAAATATGGATCAAAAGTATTGGATAAATTTGTTTGTGCACAAGTTAAGATAAGGTGGATAGGGTTAACATAGAAACCGACACTACAAGACCATAGATAATAATAAACATAAGCAAAGAGGCTAACTATGTTTCCACTAATATCGTCAATTGAAATCATACATTCCTTGTTAAAAACAGCTTTCTCATTAGCATTAATTGAAATTGTAGTAAAGGAGAACACTAGTGACGACAAACGTATGTACTTGAATAGAGAATTACAGAATCCCCCAGAACAATCTGAGAACCATTTTTATCATACAGTCAATTGTCAATCGAAGTATTTTTGAAATTACCTACCGTGATTATTCAGTTAAACATCCGATAAAAAAGATTCATTTTAATTTGTTTTAAAGAAGACACACAGCAGTGTGCATGCACGGTTCTGCATAATGGACTCTGACACAAGGTATTTGAATTAACTCCTGCACAGTTACCGTTTGTATCACTGAACTAGCATCCAATCATATCAAATCGGTAACAACAAGCGCATGTTCTCTGGTATTCTTAGATTTTTTTCTCATGAATTTCGATGATTTTAGATTTCTCCATATTAATTCCAGTTTTTCATCAAGCTAATGGATTATTACTAAAATATTCTATTGATATGAAGGTACTGATTAATATCCCTGAGGACAATAACCTATGGCGTAAAAATGAAAGTTCATCTTTAATTACATGGGACTTCTCATATATTATTCTCCTAGATAAATCATATTTATATTTGATTATATTTCTATTATCAGCTCAACAATTAGTGATGGTCTTAAGAACGTTGAAACGTGACCCCACGGTTCTATGGACAACTGCTTGTGGCCCATCGCGCACTCTCTTTTTATTGTAGAGCACTTGATGTGCTGGCTTTGTGCTTCAAAATGACCATCCACCGGAGACATAAGTTGATGGGATAAGGTGAAGTATCACGCATTCTGAGTTGTCTCTTTATAATCATTGCATCAGTTATGATAAAGCAACATTGCTTTACATGTGGGCGGTTTGACGATAGTACCTTATTGCTGTCACAGGCTTATGTACACATTAGCTCGACATCGCCCTCGAGCATTAAGTTACTGCTTTTAGTCTTACTAATCTCACAACAAAAAGTTTGACAAAGTATGACGGTAAGCAATACATTTTATAGCCTACATATATTAGTTGATTTATGACGGTAGGCAGGCCTGATCAACACGTCAAGGTAACAACTACGTTCAGTCTCATTGTTTATATACATCATTATTTAACCACGTTAGAAGATGTCCTCAAACACGTAGAAAATGCTTCCTTATAACAGGTGAATAAATTATTACACGAAGAGTAAGATGGATGTTCTATGTAATTCATCTATTTAAAGTCGTTATGAATAAACGACAGATGAATTTTGCTAGTTATACCTTCACCAGATTAAGGAATTTTTGACCGATAATCTTTAACTACTCAAATGACATTTCAGTAGTATTTCACTACACAAATAATTGTGTTCATATCATTCACTGTATTATTATTATTATTATTATTATTGAATTATTCGGTCGGTTAAAAATAAATTGAGTTCTCATTAGATAATAGAAATGATGATTGACATTACCAAGAATAACTGACTATCACTGAATCTTTATCTGTAATTGAAATAATGGACCCCATCATAACAATAATGTGTATGATTGATGTTATTATTATTATTATTATTATTATCATCATCATCATCATCATCATCATCATCATCATCATCATCATCATCATCATCATCATCATCATCATCATCATCATCATCATCATCATCATCATCATCATCATCATCATCATCATCATCATCATCATCATCATCATCATCATCATCATCATCATCATCATCATCATCATCATCATCATCATCATCATCATCATCATCATCATCATCATCATCATCATCATCATCATCATCATCATTATCATCGAAATCATCATCATCGTCCTAAATCGTCATTATTATGTCAAATTTATGAGTGACCATGATTTCAATGACTTCCAGTTCAAGCTGAATTCAGCGCGTTTTTGATGAAAACGAAGAAGAAGATCCATGAAATTTGTTTATATCATATCTTATAAGACTTTAAAAAGTAACTTAAGTAAACAGATAGATAGAGATTCCCAAATTTGCTCTATTCTCTCCTCAAAATAAAAAGAAACAAAGAAGGAGATTAACTTCACGTTATGCATTGTTGTTTTGATCAATTTTACAAACTTCAATTGAAGTCAATTACATGAATGATTAGTAATGTATCATATGTTGTATGAAAGAAGATGAAGATTCATAGTAGAATTAGATAATTACACTATACACATTGTACATCGACCACGACCTGATTTCATTATGAATGGTTTTATAACGAATGATAATTTAAAGATATTGAGACTTCTCATTATTATCTCTTCAAAATAATTAATAATTGTCTTCTGTTATTTACTATGCTTGAGTATAAATTTATTATATTAAGATTACTACAAACTCATCAGCAAACGCGTCAATTTCCGACTAATTTGACTGTTGTAAGCCAAGTTTAACAAATGGAAGAAAAGCATTACATCGGATCATAGAAGTAGGAATAATGCCCGTCAACTGAACTGACAAGCTTTAGGTCCTGTGAACTGCATTATACCCTTAAACCACTGACACAGCATACAGTGATTTCTTAACTGATATCAGTTAACGGGTGATGTGGCACAATCAACCTGTTTTTGCTGAGCTGTCACAGATTAAGATGATCCGCGGTTCAATACTTCATGGTTTTCAGTGGTTTTCGAGGTTATATTAGTTCGTGATGTTAATTCATTTCAACGATCAGTACAAATCATTATTGATGAAAGGTAACAATTGTGCATTATTTATTACTTTTGTAAAATAACAATGTTAAGTTCGATTTAGTTCATTGTCACTAGGGTAAACATAATTTCGTTTTTGTTCTTTTTTCGTTTAACATGGCTATGTCAATCAATAAATCAATATTTTATTGATGGTGAACATAAGAATATCTGGTAGCACAATGTTTAAAAGATCAAAAAAAAGGAGGGGGGTAAAGGATAATAACAGAAATCAATTGATGTGGAAATGTAGGAACACATGAAATCTGAGACAGTTGATTGACAATTTTGCAAATAAAGAGACTGATAGGTCCTGTGTTCGAATCTCGCGAGAGCGGGTTCGTGAATGCGCACTACTGAGGAATCCCATAATAGGACGAAACGGCCGTCCAGTGTTTCCAGGTTTTCCATGGTGGTCTAGCTTCAATTGATTCACGCTTTCAACTATGAAAAATAAAGAATAAGGTGTATTATTATACAATTTCACTAAGTTATTCTGTAAATGTATTTTAACATACATAAGACTATCTCTATTTGTGTTCGCATACACTACTACCTGAATGATTTTAAATATCTTTGATAATTATGTAAAACTTTACTATTTTACCACATGCTTACTACATGCTTAATAAACCAACTATAAATGCACTTGGTATTGTTTGTTTGAATCAAGTGAATTTAAACTTCACCCCATCGCACAAGCAAGTGGCTATCGGGACTCAGTGGCCGAGTGGATAACGCGATGGCGTTTGAAGCGAGGGTACTGGGTTCGAGTCCCAGAGTGAACATCAACTCTGAGATGCAAGTACATCCAGCTGACGAGTCCCAAATAGGACGAAACGCGCGTCCTGGATTCCACTGCTAGCCACTATCCATCTCTGCTAACCAACTATAAATGCGTTTGTACATTGTCAGAAATTTAAATGATCAAAGAGAAACTTCACTGAATAGTCTTCATTTGTATGAATGTTGACTGGTGTTATTGAGAAAGATATTGACGCATGATTTCAATTCCATAAAGCTTAGAGATGACTGTTTATTTCGTTATTTTTCATATTTTGCCTTCTATATTTTTGTTAACTGAACACAGACCTTTCACATTTATAATTCATTGAAGACCATATTGCGCAGTCAAAGGGATAAATATGATTAAAATGATTCAGAAAATGACATTGTGCGGCAGAAACGCATTGTAATCAATAAACCGTATTTATTTCATCTCAACATAATATGAGGCTCTACAATCTTGTCACTGAGGACTATTACATAGACAATTTAGTTATAAATGAGTACATAAGTGTCTGTGACAATTCATATACACACATTAGGTATGTGATCTGTCGAGATCTTCAGATTTTTACAGATTTATCAATTAGAGTGCTCAGAACACTGTTTTCATGTTATGATAACTGTGGTTTAGATCATCCCTAAGGCAAAGCTTTTAAGGAAACCGTCGACCCTATTCTACACATATCAACAAAAAGATCATAGTAGAAAACCTAATCAGTCTTGATGACACCTTTTTAACCATAGTTTGTCAATCATCATTTACTAAAGAAATATGGAAGTGTTTAACTTGGTATTGATAAAATGTTTCGACAGATCACTCTATCAAATTTACCATTCACACGGAACTCATAGTTGACTGCAATGATTACAATATCACTTATGTGCACTACTACTTATCTACGAGTTATTATGAGCCTCTCTAATCTTGTCGAATTCTTTACATTGAAGACTATTACATCGACTATTTAGTTATGAATGAGTGCATAAGTGTCTGTGACAACTCATATACAGATATTAGGTATATCATCGGTCGAGATCTTAAGATTTAGCAGTTTTTTACTAAATGTCAAACATTTATCAGGTGTTCTTCCGCTTCTTCAGTTTTCTTTCATCAGGTTTCCACTAACCGTTAAGTTTGTCTTACATTGTTCCTAATCGCTCTCCTTCCACTTCTTTGTTTATTGTTTTATACTACTTATTCATATTCAGTAAGCATTTCTATACTTAACAATTTTCACATTTACATTGTAACGCAAGTTGTACTGTAACATTCGGAAACGTTCCCATATATTTATAATGTTTATTGTACTTATCATTGTATTTGTCATTGTAATTACTGTACTTTAATTACTGTAACGGTTATCCACAGTTGCGGATTTGTTTAAACACAACAGTTTCCATATTGTTTGCTCTTGGTTCGAGTTTCGATTGTTCATAAACTGTTGTCCGATTTCGACACAGCCATCGGCTGTCTTTGTACTATGGAAGCCTTTACTATTTCATTCTTGAAAGATGCGTTAAACGCCTAGACACCTCACAAGTTGAGGTTTGTAATTAAACTTTGTGTTTATATAATAATAGAACCGCTTATGTAGACAAATCGTTGTTTTGGAACTTCGATTTTGCGCGTATCTCAATCGGGTCATTTGGACGCTTTGATAGACTTAACAGTTCTCAACTTTGGTCTCATTGGTGTGGATACAGTTCTGAACTTTGGTCCTAATTGGTGAAGATACTTGCTGTAACTAATTTGGTCGGAATCGAGTCTGGTTCATTCATCCCAACGATGACGAAAACGAGAATGATGAAGTACAACGATGACAGTTCCCAAGACACAGACAATTCTAATGCTGAAAATATCATTCCTTCAGTTTCTAAGGTGAATTCACCTATTTCTTTAAATATTGCTCTTGATAATGTTTTACTTAACCCCAAAGACAGCTGTTCTGTAATGGACGACTATGTAGAGACTAGATGTAGCATAGAAGACGGAGTCGTTTCTAGGGAAAAGGAAGTAGAAAAGATTGAGTTAGAGAACTTCAACTACGCAAACGATTGTTAGAGTTAACCCCGAACTCTTTAAGCCAAGTGAGAAAAGCAAGAGAGATTAACGAGTCATTGGGGTCTCGATCTGGGGACGTAACACCAGCAGCCCCGCTAAGGCGCCGATACACTACTGCACATTTGAGCGAAGCGGTGCAACTCAAAGCACAAGCGGATAGTATCAAGTCACTAGTTATGACAGCCAGTTTACCTAAGATAGAGGTTATGAAATTTGATGGAAGTCCTTTGAAATTTTGGACGTTCATAAAGGGATTCAAGGCTAACATTGCTGACAGAGTAGAGGATGATACTCAGAAATTAATGTACCTGATACATTATTGTGAAGGCGCAGCTAAGGACGCTATCGAGCACTGCGTTTTATTACCAGAAAGAGAAGGTTATACCAAAGCTATTAGCATTTTACACGAACAGTTTGGCAAACCACATGACATAGTAGAAGCGTTCTTAACAGAATTGTTAAATGGAACGCCACTAAATCAAGACGATGTATCTGGACTACGGAAATTAACAAGACTCATGACTAACTGTAAGATAGCCTTGACACAGATGGGCAGAAATGCCGATCTGAATTGTTCGACCAATCTAAAACGAATAATGAGACGACTTCCACGAAGTATACAGTTTAAATGGGCGGAAGTTGCAGACGATATTCTAAGAAGAGGGCTAGAACCCAATTTTGATGATTTGTTGCAATTCTTGAAAAAGAAAGTGTCAATCGCCACGAACACTTATGGACAGTTAGCAAGTGGGAGCTACAAAGCTCAAACGACATCGAACAACCGGTCTGCTTCTATTAGAGCTACGATCCATACATGGTCGAGTAAAGGAAAAGTTCATTATGTAATTTGCTCTGATACCCACGAAGTCGTATCTTGCCCACAACTGCTAGCAGTAAGACACAACGAAAGGCTAGAATTACTGAAGAAGTTTAAACTTTGCTTTAATTGTTTAAAACCCAGTCATCGAGCAAAAGACTGTCGGCAATCTGTGTTGTGTGAAATTGATGGCTGCAAGCGACGTCATCATAGAATTCTTCACAACACAGAACCTGATGCTAAACAAACATGCTGTAATCCTACTTATTCTGCTGGAACGTATTTAGGATTTGTGCCAGTCAGGTTACATGGTCCCACAGGACATGTGGATACCTATGCATTATTGGATAATGGCTCAGACTCGACACTACTGCTTAGTGATGTGGCAAAGCAGGTAGGAATTTCAGGTACAGTGACAAGATTGAACATATCTTCTGTAATTGGAGCGT